AATAGTGAATGATGAAGTGAAGGAACAAAATTATAACAAATAAAATGCCTTACAGTCTATTAAGGCATTTTATTTCACCACAGTTTTTTTTTTCACTCTTTAAAGTTGATACATTCGAGTGTCTGTAACTGTTCATTACAGTTTACAGTTTAGCTTTGCTTTCTCCTTATTTGGTCTTATTCCACTGTTTCTGACTCAGTTTAAAATGTCATAATGACATATCAGAGTATGTCAACTTGTATGGCTATTACTGTACATCATTTTCTCCATGTTGCAAACCCAAACCCGCTTTCAGACAATTCTCAAGCTGAATCACAGAGCCACATGTGCGGCAGCTACAATTCAGATCAACACAGACCCTCGTGTGAGTCATTGTACGGTCTCAAGTCCACAGAGGCCTCTTCATTTGAAAGAGTCATGAAATTAACTTCCCACAAGAATCCCCCAAAAACAGCAAAACAGGGCAGTTTTGGTGATGACTCACCTATGTCTGAGATATTTTGAAACTATTCTCTCACTCTGCAGCCAAAGTCTGTGTCAGACATGTTTTACTGCTGCCACACTCGTAACAGAATCAAAAGAGTGTGCTGGATTTTGGCAGAAGCCTCCTCTGAGACATTTTTTTTGCTGAGTCAAATGCAAGCACACCCTGTAACAGCGAGCACATGAAGTCACTGAGCAAAGTCTGGCTTTGTAGTGAGCTGACTTGCTGAATGGGACGCCCTCAGTGATACTTGCCCTCAGATCCATGTGGAGTTTATTAACTGCTGGCACATGACTGAGAAAATGAGTTGGTCTGTTATAAAATGTTAGCTGGAAGAGGGAAAACCCCCACAGACTCTGCCAACACTGCCATGGACTCATAAATTTAAAAGGAATTGATAGTTTTTTGCAGTCAACTGGATTAAGTGATCTTCCACACAGTTATTGTATTGAAGTGTTTATTATTATTATTTTTTAATGTGCATACAGTAGAGCTGTATATCTACTAATGTCACTCACTCCACCTTAAATCACCCGAACTGGCTTTGACTTGAATGAGGGTACGTCACACAAGAAAACCTGGCTAAGCAAAAAGTAACAATAAAAAGCTGCAGACAAAACAATATTATCTGAGATTTAAAGTGTAAACTTTACATTAGCAGTTAAGGATATATAAAAAGGGTATTTCTGAAAGTAACAGCTTTTGAGTTTTTCTGGGTGTTTGTTCAGTCTGTCAGTTTTGGGGCTTACTATTATGGATTGCTAAAGGGAAGTTGTGTGATTGCTTACGCTATTATAACCACTAATTAAACACTAAAACGAGTCTCTGTTCTATGTCTAAAACTCTTTAAGATATTTTAGGTGTCATTTATATATGTCAGTTCAAAAATATTTTGAAGGACAGTATATCTGGTCAGCTACATATATTTTCCCAGTTGTAATTATTTTAGCTGAATTGACTGGATTCAGATTACTATCTGTTCCCAGATCTTTACAGTTGCTTCATGTTTGACAAAGAACTGATTCTGATGGTCAAACTACATTTGCTGCCATGGTCAGGTCTTCTGGATCAAGTCTTTTTACTGCTCCCAGGGTCAACGCTAAACATGGAAAGCCAGCATTCAGTTTCTATACACCACATGTCTGTAATAAACTCACGGAAAACATAAGGTCAGCTGCAATTCATATCGCTCACTGCACATTAGCTGTTATTTTACTCTCTTTTTATCTTGTCTTAGTGTGTTTTATGTTACCATGTTGTTAAAAGGTGCTATAGACATAAACTTCTGTTGTCTTACCTTGCCTTACTACGGTGACTATTGCTTTTTTTTACTAATACTATTATGACCATCACACCTATAGTTATGGTATTTCATTAGGATTTAATAAACTACTTAACCTAAGTGTACTTTGAAATACACCACCAGCACCAAAATGAAGTAGAGGAAAAAGTAGAGGAATCTAAGGAGGAAATGAAATGAAATAGCTACCAAAGTCACACTGAAGACTGAACTAAAGAAATAACAGAAAACAAAAGTATTTTAAAAATCCCAGTTTAACTCCAGTGAACTAATGATGTCTACTTTCAAACTCTCACAGATCTTAATGACATAAAATAGATGAGATTTGAAGTTGAAATTAATAAATAGTACAATGATTAAAAACACAAAACTATGTCTATTAAGACATAGTAGTTTAAAAAATGATTGAAATATTGTACAAATAATACAATAAATCAGCACAGCAGCTAATCTTTGAAAAATTAAATGCTTAATATGAAATAATAAAAAAGTACGGAGCTCAACACTTGAGAATTAGCTTCAGTCTAACAACTTTTAAAAATAATGCATTCATACATTTTGGTCATTTCAACCCCCTTTTTTTACAATCTCAGTCATCGTGGTCAATCATTTAGTTTGGAATTCTAACTCACTTTAAGTTGGGTTTTTTTGGACAAGATTTGTCCCTGAAAGACTAAATTGTTGTTGCTTTTTTGATTTTTTTATCTGCCCATGAGTTTGATTTTGAATAATTGTGTGTGCTCCCATCTTTGACGTGTCAGTGCTTATTTGATGAGACGCTTCTTTTGTTCAACATTTAAAACTTTATAATATCTTTTACTTTATCTACGCTCCCTCGTGCCATCGTGAGTATCTGTGAACTGCACTGCCCATTCAACTGCCTTATTAACACAATTAACTTTCAGCCAAGCAACACCTAGACTTCATCAGACTTACCGTATTATCATGTCTTCCAAAGTTTCATGTCTATACAGAAAAAAAGAGGATGCTATCCATAATTTTGAAATAAATTTCCATTAAAATATACAAACAGTGGTCCATTAAACCATAGTGGCCAAAAGAGTGCTATCAGTAGCAGAGTAACAGTGTAAAAACAACTTCTCTCCAAGGGAAGTCTTTTTTAACACACTCAAACTGGAAGTTAGCTACTGGAAGTGTACATTATCAGGGTCAATTGTGCAGCGATGATTCAGCTTGACTCACTGCAGCTGTAGTAGTCGACAGATATAAAGGATCCCTTTCCAGCGAAAGGCTACTTGAAAACAATCATTGGGATTACTGTGAAAAATCTGGGAATACCTGGAAGAATGAAACACACTTCTGAAGAAAGATCAGAGATGGTGTTATGGATAATTTTGGAGAGTCTGGAAAGTCCTTAAATAACACACAGATAAACTGGTTACGCTGGAGCTTTGTGAATTTGTACTCTTTGTGTGTGTGTGTGTGTGTGTGTGTGTGTGGGGTGTCTATTGCTCTGCAGTCAAATTGTTTTCCGAAGAATGTACAGTTATCCGTGTGAAGAAAAAGTTGTCATAAAACAAGCTGTGGCAAACAAAACGAGGTTATGACAAATCTTAACCGAGTTAGCAGGAAATACCTCTGCATCTCCCCAGGATTTATAACCACAAAAGAATCTGCATTGTTCTATCAAAGTTTTGTCGACCTTGCTTTAAGGAATCTCACGCATGTCTTATCAAGTTTACATACTCAAACCCACATGCTACTTGCCCCGTTTGTTCTGAATGCCATGTTGCCCCTATTTTTTAAAACTAATATTATCCAGGACATGTCTATGCCCTGATGGGATGCACTGGTTTCAATGTCATGCCACAGGGGCCCTTCAGTGGTTTATGCCTCAAGTGGGTTGTTGTGCAGTGCACGAATTTTCCCCCCCAGCTGCCCCTTGAGAGTCGTTGATTCAAACGATGAACTTGGTGGTGAAATGGTGTTTGTTGTAGGTGAACGCAGAGCCGGACATCTCCTGACTCAAGGTGGATTCACTCAGGCACAGTATGTTTTCCTAGACTTACTGGTTGCATCCACTCTGAAAATACACTTTTTTTATTGCTCAACACTCCATCATTCATAATTTTAACACAACAGGTGAAGCAGCAGAAACTATCATGATGGACAATTAGTTAGTCAATTAGGGGGAAATAAAAGTATATAAATATACAAGTACTCGGAAAACAATGTGGCACAATTCTAAGGAAGGTCAAAGTGATGTCATTCAGTAGAAATCCTGTTGGAGGACAATTTTAAGTGGGCGGATCATCAACAATGCGTGTGTGGTGGGAGGGTTTGATCAGAAGAGGGCGCCCTATTCCATAACTAGCGTTCATAAATGGAGGAAGGCACGTCGACTTGATTTTCACTAAACTTCATGGGAACTGAAGGCAATGGCATACAATGAAGAAATCCAGTGTAGGTTGACAAAACAATGAGGTGTGTTCTGCAGAAAGTCTTCAGAGTCCAGAGATAAGCGTACTCAAGAACTGTGTTGGCCAGGTGTTCCCCATCTAGACATTTGTGCATGATTTAGCACAGACTATACTAACTTTGTTGCATGCATCAAAGTCCTCCAAATTGAGAATATGTATGTGCTGTAGGACATTCTTAGTTAATGTTCCATGTTTTGCAAGTCACCACTGGCAATCAGATAAATATGATATACAGTATCATTAAATGCTACAGTAGATAAAAAGTGGTACTTCATATATAAGTATTGCACTTCCATAAAGTTGGAGGATAAGTTAAAGACAGGTTTTACAAAAAATCAAAATTGATGCAGATTTTTTTACTTTTAGTCTGTAGCATAGGTTAAGCTCCAAAAACACTGGATCCAACAATTCCCATAATGCCACTTAATACTGCCTTTCATTAGACCGCTGCCTTCTAAATGCCCACTTCTTTTAAACCCTTATTTTTAAGTTTGTAATGCAGGATTTCAGTTAAACATTTTAAGTCTCAAGCCCAAGACAGGATAACTATAAAGACAACTTTTCGAACGTTATACAGCTCCCTCCAGAGCTACAGAAGACATTATACAACTGTTTTCACAGGCTGACTAGTACCAAGACGACTTAATTTCATGGGGGAAATTTGCTGTAATGCCCCTTTAATTCAAAGGGTTAAAGCACTACCAAAAATGTAATAAGCCACTTACAAATGTATGACGAGTGACAGTGTAAAACCAGTAAACAAATTGTTGCATATTTGAATTATCATCTTTATTTGTTTTATTATATATTTGTTTTTACATAAAGAGACATATTTCTTTTACACATATAGATTATATGGTTAATTTGTATCTGTATATATGTACAACTTAAATAAATCTTACATTAACACCAAGAAAATAAAACATTTACAGTGCAAGAATGTTCATTAGTGGCCAACTTTCACAGTCGCTTACCATGGTAAACCACAACCAAAGCAAAGCTCCGATTCTAAAACGGTTTGCCTACTGATTTTTTCACTTTCTCTCTTTCCTCTCACCATCCATGCTCCCAGCCTCCCACAGGAAAAATACCATGGGAACTTTGGAGAAGGAAGAACAAAAGTGGTGTCTTGAACGGAGGCGTTTTGAAAATGGAAGTGCACAGGTACAGTATGCACATGTGACCGCAGTGGTAGAAGGTCAGGTCCTCTTGACCTGTTAAAGCAGTAGACATTTTGGTAAATATGATTAATCATTTTCTTGCCCAGAGTTAGACGAGAAGAGCATACTACTCTCATGTCTGTATGGTAAATATGAAGCTATCGCAAGCAAACGGTTAGCTTAACCCAAACAGTGAAAAGAGAGAGGAAAAGCTAGCTTGGCTTTCATGGTCTGCGTGCAACCTCCCGTAAAACCACAACTTGTTTTTATACTTGCTACAAATTCAACAAACTTAAGAGATGCTGGCGGGCAAATTTTGTTACCTTTGAACAGAGCCAGGTAGCTAGTTTCCCATTTTTGTTCTAAGCTAAGCTAACCGTGTGATGGCTCCTAACTTCATATTTACCACACTGTCATGAAAGTGGCATCCATCTTCTCATCTAACTGTCGGTAAGAAAGCAAAAAAAGTGCATCTCCCAAAATGTTGATGTATTTGACGAGTAGAAACTACAGGTGAGGGGTGATCATGTTAACGAGAGCGTGCAGGCGCTCTGAGAGAAGAGTTTAATGGCAAGTGAGCACAGGAGAATTTCAAAAAATACATGAGTCATCATAGAGGCCTTAAATTGACTCTTTGGGTTGTGAGAGAAAATATACTGTACGAGAGCACACTACACATAACAGTTTACAGTGTAATGTATGCTAACACGATGTTAAGTAGTCTAAAAATAAATGCTCTTGTTTTGTTTTTCTGCTCAATAATACTATGATACTGAGGGGCCACCATCATTGTCCTTTTCCATCTCCTATTACAAAAAAGAAAATAAATAAAAATGAATAAAAGACATGGTCGAACCATTAGCTTTTTGCAAATAACAGGTGTTTGTATTTACAATGACTTCTTGGTGTTTCTTTCTGAATGGATGCATAAAAGTGAACATATATAGTTGGTCTAAGCTCAGCTGTACAGTCAGTGGGTAACCAGCCCAAATTCCTTGCATGCAGTTATCCTCACACATTCAGAGAATCTATTTACTATTATTTTACAATTAATTCCTACTAAGCTGCTGTACAGAGGCTGTATTGAGGTAAAGCGGGTGTTTCTGGCCAGCTCTAACAGGAAGGGGCTGAAGGGGAGAAATGGTTGCTCACTTTTTCTCATGGAGTTTTCTGATCATGTCATACAGGAAAGACAGCAGGGGACAGACGCATGGGGGATGCGATTCTCGATGACGACACACACGGTATATTGCTGTTAAATCTGTGGTTTCCACATTCTATGTATTTTAAAGAGAGATTGTAATTATGATTTCTATTTCCAATATAAAACACAGATTGGGGTTAGCTTTTTTTGCAGTTAGTTGCAAAATACTGGTAGTATAGCCTCTATTCATAGATAATATAAGGAATGGTACTTCAAATGCAGATTGCACACATGCACACAAAAGCACCTTTGATTAGAAAAGAAATTGCACAAGGTTGATAGATATCATTGACCATACATGTTGACATTTTCTACACAGAGACTGAGTGGTGGTTTGCATTAGGAAGTTCTCAAACATGTTTGAAAAAGTATACATTTTGGTATACAACTTCTTAAATGTTGATTGGTATTATTCACCTCCAAGTGTCTATTTTTACATGCAGTTGACTCCTTGAAACTACTACCCCAGGAGCTTGACTAGCCGGTGAGTTGAGCCCAGTTCTACTGTGAACAAAGCACTACACATTGACTAATCTAAATCACCCATGACACTTAAACACTGTTAAGTTCTTTTCAAATGCATTATTTTGACACAGACTTCATTATGGAATTTTATTTAACCTAAAGTACTCATGCCTTTTTTTCTCCAACCAGTGAATTGAAGGCTAGCATATATTTTCAGAGGCTAAACTTCAGTGAGGCATTTTTTTTTTCTTGCTTTCGTCAGTCAGTGCGTGTGAAGCATGAAAAGTTGTGTACAATCAGAACGTGTGTTCAGTGGCAAAAGAAAAAAAAGGAGTAGATTTTTTGACTAATGCTGCTACAGTACATCTAATGCTACTATTACTAATCTATATATTTTATGAAAATGAATCCAAAAAGAAAAGAAAGAAAAATCCTCTGAAGAGACATTCAGTGGTGAAAAAATGACATCTGGCAGGGAAGAGGGGGAAGCTTAAACTCATCATTCAGACTGAGCACATGGTGGATTTGCAAAAAAGAAATAACAAAAGGAGTTTGTCTGCCCAGCAAAAGTGTTTCATCCCTTGTTGCTCAGGTGCAAAGCCCACAGGCGAGTCTTTTTCGCTCAATACCGTCAGACAGGAAACATCTCTGAAAATCTTCATCCACACGGTGTGCCACTTCCTCGTCGACAAATCCCTATGCAGGGGACAAAGTCTCAGTGTGTTGAACTGGTGTGTGTGTTCAAATACGCTCACAATTTCAGCTCAGCCACTGCATTTATTATTGAGAGTTTTATACAGTGCATCTCTTGTTTTGTCCCGCCCAAAGTTCACAGGAGGTCATTCTCCTCAACCTACAAGGTTTTGTCTCAATTCCAGCTCATCTAGTGACACTAATGGCATGCATAATACTTCTATATTTAGGTGGTACACCCATAACCACCCCCTCCCCCACTTGCCAATTAAATAATAATAAATAAAAATCCACTCAGGTTAGGCCTACGCTAAACCAGCCACGCCAAAGTCTTGTGCCCTTGTTGGTTTAACCCCTCCATACCACCACCTGCTTACGGAAAATATAGGTAGAATCCATATTTTTTTCACATTAGTATATTATTCTCTTGTCCATTCCTCCATTCTTGTCTTTTATTCCTGGGGTAAAGGATAACGAGGGTCAGGTGAGAGCGATGGCAGACAAGAAGGATGGTTGTGTTTGGTGGTGGTTGTGGTAGTGACGAGGGAGAGAGAGAGGAAGTAGGTCCCCGAAGGTCCTCAGATGGACACCGGACAGGTAATGATCCTATCCTCCAGCATGACGCTGACCACCAGGAAGACGAAATACAGCAGGAACATGATAAAGCCGAGCAGCTTGCTCATGCGCCACTTGCAGGCGGCGATGGAGATGATGACGAAGAGGAGCATGAGGAAGAGGAGCACAATGGCGCAGAAGAGGCCGTTGGAGCTGACTTGCACCGGTTTCAAACCGTTGATAAAGGACCACATGAGCCAAGGGAACGGCAGCCTGCGGATACACAAACACATGTCACATGCTATTCTTGAGGGTTGCCACGGGACCTTTTTACAAAAACCACCAAATGAGCTACTGAATGTCAATAAAAAGCATTGTATGTACTGTACTTGGAAACATTTTTGTATTTTGGGTTAATTGACCCAACGATCTGTCAATGTCAATTTACATATGTAGATAGGCATTTAGCAATCTATGCTTTATGCTAGGACTCTTTACAATTACTTGTCTTTCATACTTTTTACAAAAGGATGCCAAAGAGGAAAAGAGTATGTGAAGCACTTTTCCCCCCTGTTGACATCAGGTTGCGCACACTCAGCAGAGCATAACATAATGTGCACATAGATAATATGACACAGAGGTACAAAGTGACAACAATAAATCTGTAACTCAGACAGAAACAAATTAAAAAGCAACTTGGCAGCAGCTGAAAATCTTGTTTTTGCTGACGTACAGTTTCCTTTCTCATTGGTGCTTCCTGGCGGAACAACTGTTAAGTATAAAGCAAGCTGTAGAGGTGTACTCCAGGGTGTGTCAGTACACTGTGACATCAGTGCAGGGTGTGGTTACAGGTGCAAAAAAGTAGTCTTCTCCTGTCTACTTGGCCATTATATGTTACCATAATACTCAAAACCCTGAATACTTGAAAGCTGATATAACAAAGCACACATCTGACTGCACCCATCAGAGACCCTTTAAAAATAGCAAGACCCTGCACAGGCGTACCCAACAGTAATGTCGAAGATGTTGGAGCCTACGGAGCTGGATACAGCCATATCACCCAGCCCCTTGCGTGCCACAATAACACTGGTGATGAGGTCAGGGATGGAGGTTCCAGCTGCTAATATAGTCAGGCCCATAATCTCCTCTGTAATCCCAATGGTCTCTCCAACCTGAAAAAAAGAGGAAGAAAAAAGGAAACTAAGCTTTTGGGTAAATAAAACCTAATCTTTTGTTCCAGCTATATTTAATTTCCTCGTGATGCTTGGGAGCTGATGGAGGTGACAAAACTCTACTTCTGACAATCTCTTTGTTTTGAATAAGACAGCTGTAATTATTTATGAGTGGGTGCATTGATGGGAAATGCAGAGAAAAGACGACTGCATCTTGCCTTTGATTTTTTAACAAGAATTATGCTTATGTTAACTCAGTGTTCTGGGACATGTCCTAGGGAGTGAACATGTCTCTGTGAACTGTGTACCTGGTGAGCCCACCACACCATTAGGTAGGAGAAGACTGCAATCCAGCTGATGGCACCCAGGAAGGTGATGGGGAAGAACTTCTGCGCTGACTGAAAGACAACGAGAGAGCGAATAGTGAATTTATCAGCAAAAACACCATTTCCACACTTAAATAAAACTGATGACACTATTGTTTCAAATGTTTTGAGAGGGAGGGCTCTTGTCTCACAAACCGGTTTTCTGACGTCAGGCAGCGTTAGCCACAGAGGGAGCACAACAGGTATAATTAAGAGGTAGGTGAGGCGCTTGCGGTTCGACTCAGGCCAGGACAGGCTCAGAGGCTGGTCCTCCTCCTCCTCATCCTCAACCTGAGAGGAGACACCAAAGAACAAAAAGAGGGAAGGGGGATAAAGGTTACAAAACATTCATCAAAACGGGTAATATACCTTGAAACTAAAAATTTAATTTTTGCTCCGGAGCTGTCACATAAGAGTGTCGTGCTTGGGTGTCCACATGCCATACAGTGTAATCACTTGATGTTTAATTTAACATTTGCGAGTAAACATCAGGTAAATACACAATGAGTTGAGTCACGCTTTTTACATGCTTGCAAAGCATGATCACTTGATAGCTTGTCTCATTGGATACAAGTCTCCATAGCAACTATACAGAGAGCCAGGCAGAATTCTTGCAACACAAGCACTTTCACAAGAGGGAAAAGACAGCACACAGGTCTGCAGAAATTGGTGGCAGGACCTGGATGTGCTCGTGCCTTTGATCTGTGGTGACCTTAAGACAGAGAAGTCTGATGACTGAGATTTGGGAGATCGCACAGAGCCTGAAGGGCTCTGCCTCTCCAGTCATCAGGGGCTCATCACTGCTGACTGCTGATGGCAGCAGCACCGGCAGACCCCATGGTTTGATTGGACCTGCCACTGGAATGCCGAGTGAGCCAAAAGACTGTCACCTCTCTGCAGATCAACATCAAGGCGTCACCGTCTGAAGATGACACATTCTAAAGCACTGCCATGAAAGACAACTATATGATCTTTCCATTTATACCATTAACCTATAGTGGCCGCTGGTGCGGATAACCAAGTAGTTGTGTGCCTAAAACTTACCAAACAGCAACTGTTTCACAGCTTTAGCCACGTGTTAGAAAGCCTTTGGTTTCTAACCTGCTCCCTTCAGAGTCTCTTCTTACTATGTCACATGACTTCAGAATCCTTTCTGGCAGAAGGCTTTTTTAGTTAGGAGCCAATAAATTCTTCCTGATTCCTATGACGACTGAACGGTACAACTACTGTATTAATGACATGACTGAGTTGCTGGTTGCCCCTTTGAGTTGAGGTAACGTTAGCCATGTTGATCTTGAACATGAAAGGTGGTGCAAGTGGTACTGTCAGAATAAAATACAAGCCTCCTCTTTTTACGGTCCATGTTGGTTCCACATTACGACTTATAAGATAAGTCGGAAAAGTGACTTCCCATCTTGGGAAATGGGACCATGAGAAGGAGCATGTGAATGCAGCAGATTACGTATGACGAAAACACATCAGTGCCAGGAAAAGAAATAAACTAAGGAGGAAAACATACAGCACGGCAGATGTTGATATGGGATGTTGCTCAGTAAATTATAATTTTTCTTAACAGCTTCAGTCACATCAGCTTAGCACGCCCAGAGAGTGAAGCAGAGATTTTTTAAAGATGGCTACTGCACAAATCATGAATCATATGGAGCATATCCTGCTGTGACAGCTACTGCTGTTGAGTATTGCCTGGTAACCTTGGTAATCACAGCTGCCAAACAAAAGGCAGCGCTTGCATCACTTATGCTCAGCATTCTGATTTCTCCTCCTCTCCATACCCAGATGGCTGCATTGTTGTCTGTTAAAAGGCCTAAAACCAAATACCCAAGGCTTTAGGAAGATCAATTCTGAACCAAATACTGCTTTTCATAGATGTAAAGATATGAGAAGTTTTCATTAGTGTGGCTGTGCACTGACTGCAGGACAATAATAGCAACACCAGTTACTTCTTCTTCTCTTCTATCTAGTGGGAAAAGTTGCTTTATATTACAGTGCAGTTCGCCCCGCAGCTCTTTCATGGATATGTCGACTGCATGCAGGTGAGTATTTCTGGCTGACATTGTACACTCTGAATCTGTCATTTGTCTATTTATGATTTCCTTCACTTGCTTTCTCTGCTAAAGTACCCCACAGAGCTGGTGCTCCCTACTCTGAGTTGGTTTTCAAATGCCAGCCCCTTGGGGGCCTTTCCTGCCCTGTGGTGCCTCAGTTAGCAACACTGCCAACTCCAAGCTTAAAGGTACTGACTTTTACCAGGCACCACAGAGCTGCAAGGGGAGGCGTGACATTTGCTATTTTTTTCCTTCCCGAAGGGACGCATGTGTGCTGGCACCTGGTGTGAGGCAACACTTACACTTTTTGGGACCACACAAAAAGTGTAAACACAAACTGTACGCACAGCTGCAATGCGGCTGCACCCTGATAGATTTGTATTACTTTGTTGATCCAACTATTAGTATTGTACTATTAGTTGTAAGGAATGTGCAGCCATCTATCTAAAACTACTTTTCTCAAGCTCTTTCTCTTTCTTAATATGTTTACAGTAGTCACACAGCACAGGAATAATCTGACAAACAAAACCTGAGACAAATGGAAAGCAGTGCTCCAGAACACACGATCCACTATGTACTTTATTTTAATACTTTTCTTCAGACTCATTTCTTTTAATAGTTTGAATAACACAAATGTCACATCACTCCAACAGCTGCCATGATGTAAATATCAGTATTTGCTTCTTTTTTTGACATGAAGGCTCCATCTGGATATGAAATTCTCATACTATTAAGCAAAAGCAAACAGATATTCAAATTCAATGTTACTTCCGTCCTGACACCTATTAAAAACTGATGATACACGCAACACTTTTTTCTAAAGGTACAATGAGTCATACATTCCTGTCGGTTCTGATTTTCTTTAGTTTTCTAGTATGTTATCTAAAGAAGCTATTATAGGAGATTTATATTTCCTTATAAATATTCAAAATGTGTGCTGAAATTAGAAAATCCTGAACATATCTTAACAGAAAGACAATTTGTGTGCGAGTCATACCCTGATTGTGCTTATCTTCATCTTTACAAGAAAAAAAAGCACTATAAAATTTGGGCCAGATGAATGTACACTACGCATATATACTATACAATATTGCCTTTATGACATACCAACTACAAACAATACAAACCCATAACCCATACTTTTAGAAAATATTATAGTATATGATCATTCCAGTCAGCTCAGCTCTCAAAGGTTTTAACAAAAAAAGGGAGCCAGGAAATTGTGCTAGAAGTCTGCTGCAGATTTTGATATGACCTTAACTATGCCCTTATTCCACAATCTTGGTTGCCAAGCCATCCAGGAGGAATTGAACAATTAGTAAGATGGGACCTCTGGCGTCATAGGAAGGTGTGAGCTGTTTCCAGCTACTTCTTGGCTGACACAGACAGGTGCACTGTGGGACAGACCTCTCAAAATAGCAGAACGTGGAAATTAGGCATAACGATAAGTGTCCAGCTCTTCCAAACTCAGTGAATCACCACCTGGAAAAGGGTATTTCTATATTCCATCCATCAGGTTTTCTGCCTTCACCTCAAAAAGTGAAGTTTTAAGGCGAGTCTAAAAATGTCTTGAGCAGGCTGCATTACCTCCATTTTTTATAGACGCAAATATTTTCAGCTTCGGAGGAGTGATATCTATTATTAAGCCAAGAGTGAGAGATCAATCTGAAAACAACCTGATGCAGTGTAATAGATCAAAACATGCATGGTCATGTCGTGAATCAGGGATAATTTTTAGCAGTTTTTTTGCAGTCTATATTGAGAACCTCCTACATGCACACACCACACCCACACCAGTCTGTGTTTATAGACCACGGTATTATACCAGGGAGGAATGCTGTATGTCAAAGTATTTATTTTTTAGTTGTAGAAAGACCTCGTTTCTTAAGAATCACTCTGTTCATACATTTAAGTATTGCTAGAACAGGGTTTTTTTTTTAAAAGACTGAGCTTTGATTCAAGGCTGCATACATGTTAGATTAAAATCTCTAGTCCTTAAAGTTTTGTGGAGACCTTTGTATGCAAAGCTACTGGTCATATTACAGTTTATTTGCAAAGCCTTTTACAAATCCTTGTAATACAGGATCACTTGAACAGTTGAAAAAAAAAAGATTAATATAGTGGGTTAGTAGCTTGAATCAAGGTAAACTGCATCAGATTAACCCAGAGAACAGCCTATGAAATGAGTTTTAGGCCTTGAAAAAAATATGAGGAAAATGTGGGTGTGTAGAGTTGAGATTTGAAGTGAAAAATCATTTCCATGGCAAAACTGAGGAACAGAAGAAAAAAAAATGAGGCCGCATTTGTGCAGCCTGATTTTAAAAAATGTATACTGTTTATGTGTAGCATTTATCCTGCTAAAGCCTATCACCTCTATTTACACACTTTAGTTACCTCTTTATATATTAGGTTGCATTGCCAGTGGCAGAGTCTGCCATTGCAGTGCTGGATTCAAATGCTGCGCATTGGGGATTCACAAGAAACAAAACATGCACATACTGGACAAGAGCAGGCTCTCATCTTCTGAATGTTGCATATGGCACATAATGATATAATCTGTAAAAATAGAACAGCTGGTCCAAGCATTGAAAAGTTGTTTCTCATCTTTTATGAGCAGCTAGTGCATGATGCAAGCAAGTCTTGTATTCCTTATAGAGTGGCTAGTGCATATTCTGCCCCCAGTGACTGATAAGAATGCTATCCAACAGCAATCTTTATTATATTATAATAATTATTAGATTAAATATAATTTTACCCAAGAAAACCTGAGTTTTTTTTGTGTGTATTTTACACACTGTATTTTATTAACATGTAACAGCAAATTTCAAGTTTCTAGCTTGTAGAAAATAATTTGTTCATTTTCATACTGTATATCTGGAAAAAATCGAGCTTACTGCTGAGTGAAAAAAACTGATAGGAGGGTTCAGTCTGTTTTGGGGTTACTCTTGGTCATGTAACGAGAAAGAATCCAGCAGGATGACCGACACGCCCATCTCCTCTGCCTCTTCCTCTTAGCGTGCGACTTTGAATCGCTGCCCTCCCGCCTCAGGACCGTCTGCTGGCCTGGCGGGTCGCTGCGTCCCCCCACCATTGCTCATGCCGGCAGGTGTCATTCTGAGACTCTGTTCCTGGATGTACGTCAAAGACTATGCGTGCGTGTGTGTGTGTGTGTGCTGAGGCACGTGTGCCAGTGTGTTCATTTCGAGCACCCAGTGGCGGGGAGCAGCAGGTGAGTGAGGAGGGTGATTACAGATCTCAGTGTGAGGAGGCAGGTCTTTGGCAGGTCTGGCTGAAGATGGAGGAACTCGCCCGCATGCATGCTGGGAAATTATCAGCAGTAGTGACCTGTGCCATAGCCAGTGCAACCTTTGCATCAATCCCGCTCAAGGTGGAACACAGACACAGATGAGAGTCATGAAATATTCACAAGTGTCTCCCTAACTTAGATGTCGGCCTCTCAGTTTCGTTGCCTTTTCACAACTCGGCCGAGCTAGTTGACTAGGGGATGAAATCAGTATAAAGTGCAGTACAGTTTTTTTGTGTGTGAGTACTTACCGTTTCCCCCTCTTGCCCTGCCGTTCCGTTCATGGGTGGCGTCACTTCCACTTCCACGCTGGAGCTGTTTGGAAGGTTCTTATCTGTGGGAAGTTTGAAGAATAATTAAAGTGAAAAGCTTTTAGAGGAACAAAAGCTGTCAATGCCTCAAATAGACATGCAAGTGTGAGCTGATATGACGTCAAGAGATGTGGGAGACAGCACCTCAGCAATTTTAAGTAGTTAAACCCTTCAACCCTATGGACACAAACTGTCTCAACATACTTTCTTTTACCTCCACTACATTTATTTGACAGCTATAGATACTAGTTACTTTTGAGATACATTATGTTACACATTAAACTTTTGATGGTCTTCCGAAATATGATGCATTGTTATACATATATTAAATATATAAAGTGTTTCAAATTAGATCAACCTCCACCAGCTACAACATTAAAGTACTTCTATTATTCATGTAATCTATAGTATGTCAGAAAAATAAAATAAAACGCACATCACAACTTCCCAAGTTGATCCTCAATTTGCTACGTTTCTATGACAGGCTGTCCCAAACCCAATGGTATTCAATTTACAATGTTATGATAGAAAATTGAGAAAATATGCAATCCACTAATGGATTAACTGACTTACTGTTTTAGCACTAATTTGCTGGCAGTCTCACAAAAACCTGACTCGGTTTTTGTAATTGCTAACCTCAGGGTCTTCTAATGACACTAGTACATGTAAGAGTACATATAAAGTGTGTTTCATTAATATTCCCATTTTGTATTTAGGTGGAAAACAAAGTTGTAAGAGTGAAGTAAATCTAAATAAGAATAACAGACTCTTTAGGAGAATCACTTTGATATTGAATGATGATGCTCAAAAAGTGCTGTTCTTCTAAGTCTCTGTCTACGTATGAACATGAGTGCGCCGTCTGAGGCCGTTCCCTCTTCCTCATCATATCTTGGTTGCTGATATGACTCCATTTCATTTGAGGGCAGACTTACTTAACAGGCCTTATTAAAATACAAAGAGCCGAAAGCCATGTAATCGGATGATAAAACTATAATTGCTGTGGAAATTGCTTGAATCCAAGTGTGGTTGTGACAATTAGAAAGATTCCCAGATAGATAATGTGATTTGATTCTACTATCGTCCAACACATGACCTCACTCCATGGCCGTGATGCCGTGATATAACGGATAAAGATGGGATGCGAATCTAATCACTCAATCGCATCATACGCTAAACTATACAGACAGTAAATATCCTGTCACTACAGACACCACGGAGAGAATTTAAGATGTGTGAGGCCTGAAAAGTAAAGTATGCTGTGATGACTACCAGTCATGCATTTTGATTAAGATGGTAATATGTTAATGCCGTGCTGTTAGCATAATTTTGCGTTGTTGATAATCATCTATGTCTCGCTTTGATTCTGCTGCTCTGACAACATTGTGGCCATGAAAGCGCTTCCTCTGGCCTCCTGTTTATCCTTTGGTCCAGTGCTCTTTGAAGTGAAAAACACACATAAATTACACTTGGCATTGACTGTGATTGATTTAAATACTGCTTGAAGACAACACTTGCAATCAATTTGGCAGTTCTTGATAATGTCATGCTTGTTTAACATCGGATGGGATGCTCTTTAACTATTTCAGTGGGCAATGCTATCGACTAATACAAGGAATATTAAGCCAGACATTGCCTGTTCAACAGCAAACTGATTTTCAGCTACTATTAAATTAAAGGAATAGTTTGACATTGTGGATAATACGCTTATTCACTTTCTTGCTGAGAGCTAAATGAGAAGATTGATACCCTCTCGTATTTGTGCAGCAAATGTGAAGCTACAGCCGGCAGTATTTGCACTTGTTTGTTAAATCTCTACTAAAAAGTGTTAATGAATGACCGTTTGAGGTGCTGGTAAGGACATTTATTTACCTTTGGACAGAGCTAGGCTAGCTGTGTCCCCTGTTTCGGCTCATTATGCAAAGCTAAGTTAACTGGCTGCAGGTGGTAGCTTCATACTTAGTGCACAGACATGTGAGTGGTATCAACCTTCTCAAATAGCTCTCAGCAAGAAAGTGTTTACACACAAAATCACAAACTATTGACTTATCTAAAGAAACATGAAAGAGCTTTTCACCTGAACGGCTTGCTACTCCATTGGCCTTCTCACTGTCCTCCACTTGGCATTTCTTTTTAGCGATCTTGTGAAGGATTGATGCCTTCTCTCGAAATTTACCTGCAAAAGAATCGCCAGAATGGTTAAATGTAGAACAGGGAGCTGCATACGGCAGCATCTTCAAAGCCTCTCGGCCTCATCCCAGTCAGAGCTCCTTCGTTGTCACCTTTGACCCCAGATGGGTCGTATTTCACAGTGCATACAGGGTGGCGGCTTTACACAAAACTGCCGTTCAAACAACATCGAGAGTCAATATGTCATAGCATATCATATACTGATGATCCAGCAATGTCCTGGTCCTTGGTGGGGGCAAAGCCAGCAGGGAGAGAACCTCCTGCGAAGAGATCTGGCTTCTGGAGTTCAGATTCGCTCCTGTTTTTGTTCAGTCTCATATCTGATGAGAAACTCACAAGAGGCGGCAGAGGCTAGCGGGGGAATTAAAAGCAACCAAAGGTTTAGCTAGGGACAGCATCACAGCATATCAAAAATGACAACTTTATGGGTTTAAGACATTGTATTCAGGAAGCACCTGCTTGTATCATTATTATAAACCTTCTGTTTAGCATTAGTTATATTGGAGTGCCTGTTTTTAGGTACAGTGGCTCTGTGCAAAGCCTCAGAAAAAACAGAAATACTGTATCATGCAGGAGACATCTGCTAGTAAGAGAGTTTTATTAATACTTAAAAATCACTTGTAGTGATAAATATATTTTTGCTGATAACCTTTATTGATTCAGTATAACCATTCATACTGGAATGACGATGCTGTGACGCAGTAGACTGGATTGAAACCAGTCATCAATAGCACAACATGACCTTGTGGCTTACATAAACAGCGTGCCCTCTTGACATTACAGAAATTGGCTCACGCAAGGCAGTTCTGCCCATATTGTAATGGCTAGTGATGGCTGGCCGCTGGCTTGTGGAACAATGATTTTCCACGAAATCCCCGTGGCCTGAAATCCACCAACGACATGCACACGAACAACAATACAGTACTGAGACGAGAAGAAACATTACTCCAAATGCACAGATATCATGTAGTGCAGGTTTTTCTGTTGCCATACAAATAAGATTGTAATATTTGATGGCTATGCAGGCTGGGCACCTTCAGCAGTGGTAACCTCTGTGAGTGTTTTCATATGAAACCAAACTGTGTTGTAAGAATTGTTCGTTTGGTGTCAAACCTCTTGCGCATCATTAACCTTGGCGCTATCATGCATCCATATTTGATTTCACTGACTTCCTGAGTGTGTCAGGTTTTGCGTGCATGTCCTGCCTCCTCCCAGTCATCCTACTGCAATCAATGTGAAAGATTTTTATTTTTTTTATGTTGTCATTTTAAGAGGGCATGGCATATTTGTCAGTGCTGGACGCAGTGACGCGTCAATACGTACTCCACCCAACCACATCAACACTGTCTGTGACCTTCTGGCAAAATCATTAGCCACCCCAAGTCCGCCACCCTTCCTCCCATCTCCTCTATCTCACTCTGCATTTCTCCATCGCTCCGGCTTTTCTCACTCATCTGTCTTCGACAAAAAACATCTCTCGCTCACTTTGTCTCTTCGTCGCACAGCCTGGACACACACATGCACACAAAGACACACAGAACCACATATACTGAACGTTTTCGCATCACGGCATCACACATTCCACTGACTTGACATCACTCACCTTAAGCGGTCATTGTCAGTTGGTTGCATATGGTAGAGATTGTGGATTGAGAGTGTGTACGTTTATACAAACGTGGGTGTGAGATCATTGTCCCTGCTTGGGAAAACAAATAGCAGAGTTGGGCTTTCTGCTGCAGGTATTCAGAGGAAATTGACGTTTCAGTAGTAGCTGTGAATCTATTTCTATAAATACCTACAAAAGGCAGAGAGCATTTACAAGCTAAGCAGGGACGTCAAACTGCATAACAGATAGAAAGGTTGTAATGCCTTCTTTTTATGCCTTTTTAGGTCGATCATTTTACCAAAAAAAATTTATTAAAAAAAGGTAGCTTAATCACACCACATTTCCCAATTGCATGAATTCCACTAGTCAGAGTCAAAAAGCTGAGATGACAGCTGCTTAGATCTGCTAAGCTAGTTAGCTTTAGCAGGAGCTCTGCAGGGTTTCTTTTCTCCATTGTGATTTAGCTACTGCTTCATTTAGTTATGTGGAATAACTAATTGACAGACCAAGATGTCAGTCGAATGGATATGTTCCGTTACAAACAACAGCCAGCTAGCTGCTGTATATTTAAAAATCTGTTTTCAAGAAATGATTTCTATGGCATAATATGTTTTGTTTAAACAATTTTAATTCATGTATTAACAAAATTTGGACAAAATCTGTAGTTCTGTGTTTTTCCATTGCAGGGTAGGCCTAAGGTTTGAAATGTCATTATGCTTTAACTCTAAAGGCAAACAAATAAGAAACCTCCAATTTCCTTCTAGGTGCATGAATCAAAGCAAGCAAAGACAAAGTCCCATTGTTTAGGCTTAGACAAAAGCTTTAACATTAAAAACTTGAGTTTCTCTTGATTAAATAGCAGAACCATCCAGTTTGCATAATGATGAAGCAATTGCCCAGCCCTTCCCTAACTGTCGTTTCACAGCCGCTCACTTTCCCTGTCAGCTCTGCCTGTTACGCAACCACTGGCTGGATGAGTCACTCCAGTTTGCCAAATTCAGCAACGTGAGTCTTACGTGCGTGCACTCGTTACTGGTGCATTTGGAACCTCCAAATAAGTGTTTAAGCATGGTTGATGTATTTGTCAGCGTTGCAGATGGGTAACAGGGCCAAAGGAAAAAACAAAAGAAAAAAACCCAAAAACAGTGTGCCTTGTATTTTCTGAATGTGGGGCATGGGGTGGTATGCTGTGCATTTGTGTGTGGGTTTACCAGCCTGCATAACATTAAATGTCTTCATATTTTACAAACAAAAGAAGAAGCCGTGGCTTTCTCAGAGAACCAAACATAATCAACATATGACTTTCTTTAAATATAGAATATATAGACTATATAGAATAAAAATCAATAGAAAACACTACACATGGTAACACTCAGTATGCATGAACATATTCTCTGGGCAGAAATAAAAAATAAGCCAAAAATAAAAAATGAGAAAAAAAAAGTAAATTCTTAAAAAAAATAACTAAAAAAAAAATGGTATGGCTACCATGATTTGCACTTATGTCAGTGAAATCTCAGAGAGGTTGTCAAACTTAAAAGTCAATGTCAAAAGCAAACAAAAAAATGGGGTTTGGAGGTGCTGTTTTATGGTTAAGATGGAGAAAAAACAAGAGGGATGACAGAAGCTGACTCAAAGAATCAAGTGAAAACTTGCAGGCTTACCTTCCTCAGTCATTGAGTGATAATATTTTAGTTTCCCATAAGTCCCAAGCTCTACAACATCACAGCAAAAGACAAGGGTAAGGCAACGAACACACAGAGAAAAGGAAAAGAGTGAACATGACAGAACAAGACAGGTCCGCTGGTTCTACATCACATACTGTACAAACACTCACACAGGCACAAGGAGTGACATACAGAAAGACAAAGTCTCTCCGAGCCATCACTGCATAAGTGCAAAAAAAATAGCGGCAAGGTTTGAATTACAAACAAAAAACATTACAGTGTTACAGTAACTCAGTCAGATAAAGAACCTGCCAATGGCACAGGTTAGAGGGCTATTAGAGAAGATTTGCGAGAAATAGGGAGGGAGAAGGGGCAGTCAATAGACTAGAAAAAAATAATAAGAGATTCATACAATGATATATTAAAAAAACACAACAGGAAAGTCAGAATAGAATTTACTGGGTCAACATGCAACAAAAAGATGAGTCCTCCTCTCCTCTGCACACAAGCTTATTCAAAGGCTTGATGACTCTGCATTTTATTTCCACAATGAAACCCGAACAATTAATTTGATTCCCTTACTGTAGCAGTTTCTTGGCGCTACAGTAAATAGACGGTCAGCACATCTGCATGATGAATTAGCCGGGAATTCAAACCTGCAGCAACAGCGGAGAGTGAAGCAGCAGAACAGAAGACACCGGACCACGAGGCTCTACCTCCCACGCTGCACTTTTGTCTCGGAAGTAGCTCGCAGCTTAGAGCTGTTCTGCCCGTTTCAACAATAAAGTAAAACTAATGGCATCAGGATTTTGTTTTTTTAGCATAGCTCTGCCCAGTTTTCTCAAATAGTTTTTTTTGGTCAGAAACTGCTAAAAACGAGATTCAAAGTGCTGCTGGTTGTTGTAATGTATTGATGTCTACAGCGAAATAAGCCAAAATGACAATATATTCTCATTTGTATGTTAAGTAATTTGTATTATTTCCTTAAAATACAATATAGCGCCTACTTGAAAGGGTTGCTTCATCCAAATTACAAAAAACATTTTTTTCACTTCTGTGTAGCAATGCAGAATGCTTTAGTTTTATTACCCATGTGATCCATTTTCATTGGAACTACTGTCAACCACCTACAGTATCTACTTGCTTTCTCCTGTTTCAAACCACTATCAAATTAGATCATCAAGGTGGAGCGTCTTGGTGATGGAGTACCATCAGGATGTTCTGAACTTGCCAAAACTGTATTTTTTTAATTGTTAAATTAAGTAATTCATTAAATTAAGTAAATTCAATGTGTTTTTTCCCCCCATATTCATTTAAACTGACCAATTAACTCTCTTCACAAGCACAAACTAGTTTTGTACATGTAGAAGGTGCACACTACTGTCAGTACTGTACATGCCCACACCCACATGCACTCACACTAATATCCAACTCTGCCCAACAGTGGGCAACCACTCCACTCACATGTGGGAGGATTATGGTGCCAGTCTCGTGCCAAATGCCAGACTTGGCAGCCCTGAAAGCACAATCTAATGTCTTGCTCATCTGCTGCACTCCCAGACAAGTGCCTCAATCACATGATTAGGCGATTTAGGTTTGAAGTGCACTATCACTGCAAGGCCTGACTCTAACTGATGCTGCTCTGAGGGCAATTAACCCACGACACAATTGCTGCCCGTGCAGTCGTCTGTTTGCCCTTTGCAACCAGTGAGGGAGGGAGGCTTGTTGTTGTTTACCAGGGGCCCTCTTGTCCTTCTGGTGTGACCTCTAAACCTCTGGTGAGCTGTGTACTAGAGTATGTGTGTGTGTGTGTGTGTGTGTGTGTGTGTGTGTGTGTGTGCACGTGCATGCGCGCATGGCCTTTCTGTCTGCTGGGGGTTGGGGTGTCAGGGAAATTCACAGTCTGTGCTGAAGCAAAAAGGCTTTTAACATTGATTCTTTCATCCACACGGTGCAGGGTGAGCTCAGAAGGCATGTGTGTGCGTGTGTTGGTGCTGAGGTTGGAGGGATGATGGGTTGATAGGTGCTGGCTGGCTACTTACAGTTACATAAGATACTGGAGGTTCAATTATCTATTAAAACAAAATTGAGGGGGGCAAGGTTCTAAGGCCATATTTGCTAGATAGGGGGATATTAAATATATTAAAACAAATGGTTTTGAGAAATACACTTATTTTGCTTTCTTATCAAGAGTTAGATTAAAATATTACATCCCTCTTTTACCTGTCACTTTAATATAAATGTGGAACGAGCAGCTGGTTACCTTAGCTTAGCACAATGACAGGAAACAGGGGGAAACACTGAGCTGGGCACTGACGGAAGGTAAAAAGAACTCACAAGAGCACCTCTAACACACCTTGTTTATTAAATTTGTGTGTAAAAACAACAATTTGTGGTTTATGTGACTATTTCTGGCTGGGTTTCAATAACAGACACATAAAGGTGCTAATTATGAGCTTTAGAGTTCTTAGTAGTTCGATTTTGTTACCATTGGACAGAGACAGGCTGAACGATTCTGTACTAAGCTAACTGTCTGCAGCTTCCTATTCAGCTTACAGACATGTGTGACACTGACCTTCTCATTTAACTCTCAGCAAAAAAATCAAATGAGCCTATTTAGTGTGTGCTTTGACTATTACATGAAAGGACGTCTCTTTACATTGCAAATACATTAATATTATTACATCAATACACATGAAGATGGTACCATTTCATTGTCAAGTTGTCATCTCGATGCCTGTGTTATATGCACTTGCTAAAAATGTTGTGAGAGCTGTTACATTGACACAAATAAAGAAAAACCTACAGCAGAATGTCAGATTCGATCTGCATAAATTGAAATCATGTTTCCGTTGCATAGGGGTGGGGTGGGTCAGTGACAGTGAGTGCAATATTGAACCATGTAGGCCCTGGGTCAGCACACAGACAGTACAGCTGGCGGGGGGCAAGGGGGGCAGCAGTATTGGGCAGATATTGGCTGGATGAATAGATTTACCCCTTACACTAAATGCCTGTTAAAATAATGTAAAGTCATAGCATAGAAAATTCTGAATTTAGGTTACCCTTTTCTTCATCGTTACCTCATTTGTGTATTAATTTCATCCTCTTTAGGTATGTATTACGCCCTCACAAAATGATGCACACATAAACCTCATTTTCTGCCCTTTGGCTCATTTCCTTCCGTGTCTGCATCGCAAACTTCCAATGAAACAGTGGGTCACATCCTCTGTCGTCTCACCAGTTTACCCAATAAGCGTAGTGTCTGCCAACATGGGTGTATCGTGGTTTACCCAAATGACCTTGTCCTTTCTATGCTCAGCCTGTGGAGGACTTTGGTATGACGTTTGCTCAATAAAAATGGCCTAACATCAACAGAGACATTGCGAGCAGTGTGAGCAATGTTTTCATCCTATCTCAGTGAGATAATGATCTGCGGGAAAGAATCTGATGAGATTGCTGGTCTGTGCCACCATATTTATAGCATTGCACTACATCATCACAGAGCAGTGATGTTACATAAACACAAGGATTTTTATTGACAGATAAACAACGGCAATTATTACTTTTATCTTAGTTCTGGTAGATTATTGTTAAAAATATACAATAAAAAAAAAAAAATACATTAAACAGATGTACCTCTACTTTATGGTCTGTGACCAATCTTCTTCTTTACTGAGGTCAACCTTCAGCTATGGATATGCACAGACTCGCCACCAGAGATCATATCTCGGAGTAATAAATCTTATTGAAGGGCTTGAGCTAAAGGCATGCACGCAGCCTGAATTCTGAGTACTGCTTTTGGAGGCTTGTTTCAGCCATCCACTGAGGGCTCAGACAGTAGAGTGGGATCCACTCTGCCCTTCTCCCTCCCCATCTCTCTTTGTAGTTCAATATTTGATGCCACTCCTAAGTGATATTGTTGGTAGCTGCACACTAATGGAAAAAAAGAAATGCAGGCACTTGTGCCAGGAACAAGACTGTTACAATGTTCTCTCCAATGAAAAACATGCAAGATTAAATGTCTATTATTAAACCGGAAGACATTCACGATAACAAGAACGAAAGAAAGATATTGTTCTTGGAAGTAATTTTGATGCTGAATAATCATCTACTGTATCTCAAGGAGCATGCAAATGCTTACAAAATCAATAATAGTTTGGTGGGACCGGCTAATTGTAAAAAGCTGTAGAGGGAAACAAATTTTAGTACACTGCCATTAATTGCTCTGTCTAGGGCTGGACCCAAATATTCGAATATTCGACTGTTGGGTACACATTCGATTTTCAATTATGAGATTCTATTATTGAGGGTTTTTTTGGCGCGCCTGACCTCCGCCGACAGCAGTGAACATAACACTCCAGTTCACATCAAAGGGAAAACGAAATGAAGCCCTCAGCTGTGTGGGAGCACTTTAAACTGAGTGATGACTGCAGTAGTGTGGAAGTTAGGCGTTTATTGATTTTACAATTGCTTAATTTCATTACAGATCAAAACAGTCAAATTTCCTACATTTTAAAATTAATCAGTAGCTAAACTGGAAACGAACAACAACATAATGAACACATCTAAATAATTAAATGAGGCCGATTGTAGAAGAAGAGCATTTTGTCTCTATAATTAAAATTAAAAGTGAATTTTGCATAATAACGTGTTAGACTTAGTTCCACTATCAGAAACACCGCTAATCCCGTGCGCTCTCCGTCTGGACCCCCGCCCGGCTAAACTATTCCCGGATTCTGCTCTGGACCTGGTCTGGACCTGCTCGGATCAGGGGGGCCAAGCTTCGATCATTCGCTCTTAATTACTATCGAAGCGTCGAAGCTCAAAAAATGACATTTGGGCCAGCCCTAGCTCTGTCAAGCTCTTAATGACTCCTGACAAAGGGTATGTGAGGAAGACTGAGAAAACAGCTGACAACATTCTCCATCTGCCCAGTACACACATTCATTAACTAAGCACAACGTTGTCAAGTTGACAGACCCAGGACATTATACTCCATCTTATTCCTACACTCCTGGCATGTTTAGCTAAATGTCTGCAGGATAAAAGACCAACACAAGAGAACAACACGGACAGGAAAACACAAAATCACTACTTTTGAGCTTCCGCCTGTCTCACAGAGGGCAATAATACAAAGCTCGAACTAAAAGGAGTTCATAAGAGGAGAGAGAGGATTAGGGACAATGGGGAAAACAATGCAGAAATGGTCACAGAGGGTTTCCAGGGAGAATACATCCACAGAAGAGAGAATGAGATATTTGAAAGAGGACAGAACAGGATTGACATACACAGCACAGCGGCGCTTGGGAAATGTGTACATGGGGGAAAACGTTGGGCAAGAAAGTTGCCTCCAGGCTGTTGGAATGAGAACAAACAGATTTTTTTTTTTGGGGGGGGGGAAGATACAGAAATTAGAGGAGTAACTCACCAGAGTCAGCAAATTCTGAGGGGATAGTAGAAGAAAGAGAGATAGGAAGACAGAAACAGAGACAAGATAAATCCAAGTGATATTTAGTGTGATAGCACACATTAAATCATTGATAGGTATTATTCCAAGATGACAGTCAATATCCCATTATATTATGCTAGTAAATTGATTAAATTATTTAAACTTAGAATAAATATGCCTTTTTGCTTTCTTCCTGAGAGTTAGATGAGAAGATTGATACTGCTCCCATGTCTATACAATAAACATGGAATTGGGGCAAGGTAATGCTTAGCTTAGCTTAGCACAACAACTGGAAGCAGGGGGAAACAGCTGTGCCAAAAAAAATCCACCTCCCACCTGAATCTCATTATTTAATTATAATCTCACTATTTATTTATATTTTGCTTTCTCAATCCGTACAAAAACACAAGTATAATGAAAATGTGTTTGGTAGAGTTGTGGTAGACCACAATGATCTTAGCATGAAGACAACACATTTTTTCTACTACCTGACATTTTTAAAAAGAATTAATTAAACAAGATAGAAGGAGTTAATTAGTTAGATTTTAAGGTGCTCTTAGGGGAATGTTCTTACATTCGGACAGAGCTAACTGTTTCCCCTGCTTCCTGTCTTTATGTTAACCTAAGCTAACTTCCACCTGGCCCTCGCTTCATATTTAACGGACAGATATATCTAACTCTCATTAAGAAAGTGAATAAGCATACTTTCCAAAATGTCGAACTATTCCTCACCTTTTAGAGTGAGGTCACACACACACACACACACACACACACCTCTCTAACTAACTACGCCCCACTTTAAAAAGTTCAAGGAAATAGTTCCCCACACTAGCAAAACCTCAGACTTTTCTTTGGCTCGGAAGCGCAGAGATTTTATTTTGAGAAATGTCTATGAAAAATGTATGGATGGAGTCCTGCCAGCTCCCCAGCTGTCCCTCTGAGCTAAAAAGCCTAAGAGCACACAAGGTCAAGCAGCACTGTCTCTGTATTTCTCTTGTTACACGCTAGATCTTAACAAAATGCTCCTTTGCATTAATGATATTAGTAAATGTGCATAAAACACAGTGACTCATCTCTGAATGGGGCCGACCTTTATTTGCCCCCTACGGTAACGGATCAATGAAGAAATTTATCGCACTAAACAAATGAGGCGTGCCATGAGCACATATTAAAGTCATCAAGACCAATAACGTTGTTGTATGTTCACTGGAGCGTTTGAAAACTTCCACCGCGCTACATGGAGGTTTCAAAATTATGTATTCAAATCAAACTCAAGCCTAAAGTGTTGCTTTTGTGCTCTGTGGTAATGAATTCAATCCCCGTATCATGTCACACTGTAGTAGTTGTTTTTTCAGCGCATTAATTTCCAGTCAGTAATTTGCCAAAATAACTCTTTCTACTGCATTCATACAGAAGCAGAATTTGCCAGTTTGACCAATTTAAATCCACTATTAAGAAACAATACTAACACATAGTAAATTCATTTTGACCTGAATTATTCGATGCTTGGTATTGATCTAGATCCGAACACGAAGAAACAGTTGGCAAACTCTAGACGTGCAATCCAGTCTATCAATCTTAATGCCACTGAACAAACAGTAAATATTTCAGTCTACCATCATCAGTGCATGTTAGATGCCCTTAAGAAGACCAAACGACAAATGACTCTACAAGGAGAGGCAGGGAGGAGTATGTATAACCCTCTCTTGTACATATACGACCACTCATGCAGACTTTCATTCCACCACCAGGCTATGATTTAAATTTTAATCACAGAGATGGAAAGATGAATACACTCAGAAATGGGACACCTTGGATCCAGTGTAAAACGACGAGATGTTGCATGTTAATGCACTTTAAAGCCAGCTTCGGTACAGCTTATTAATCTTTCCTGAGCTGACTCATTCTAGGTTTGGCTTTCAAGGAATGTACATTTCATTTCAGAGAAAGCCGCATTCATATCCATCCAGAAAATATTTGGTCACGCCATAGTTTTATGCTTATAAATTGTTTTTTGACCTTGGCCTATGTGGTATGTTTTTCTGTTGTAAGACAAGTAACACAGTCACAATAACACTGTAAATACATTTCAAGCAAATCTGAAGGGAAAAAGGGAAACATAAACACATCATCTAGTAAACAGGAATTATTTTCAACATTAATATTCATTTTGTAAGGATTAGGATTAATCACGTCATGAGACACTGCTTCCACATCCAAGGCCTTTCACCAAAAAAAGGACACTCAAATGACAAATTCTTCAAACTCCTGTTGCCTGTTTGCTCTCTTTTAATGTGAATATTTCTTTTCCTCTTTCCGTGGTGGGTTGAGAATAGGATGGCAATGCACCTCCCCCGGCATATTAACATATTCCATCCCCTGCGCCGAGCACTGACACTGCCGTTTTACATCTCCTTTGGCTAAACTAATAGGCCTTCATCTTCGATTAAAGGAAAATGATCTTCCACCTCAGATGTGTTCTGACACAGCACCAAGCTGACCTTGTACAGACTATTAAAGTAGTAAAGAAGTGGAGACACTGGAAGTTTTTTAAAAATAAATTATTATTTTGACTGTTGACTGAATTAAAAACTTTGCCAAAACACAATATGGATCATTGATTATTCATAAGATAATGTGAGCTCAAGTTTGGGACATCTTTCATGTGCTCATAACATGTGCTTTCAGAAAAGGTCCTCAATTTGTGATTGACGTAGATTTCCGATACATCTGAAAACAGGATTTATCTCATTTTAAGAGAAAAAGAAAAATGATGACAGGTTCAAGGCAAGATCAACCTGAAAACAATGAAATAATTAATTATGGACAGTAAAAAGAACATCTGCACTGTATATCCTGCGTGTTAGAGACTTACACATGTGAAATCCATCATTGAAGAGCTGTGTTTTCTATGTTTTCTATGTTTTCTATTGTCTGACTGTCTTACCTTCACTTAAAGGGTCCAACGTGTGAATCATAAGCTGGAAAATACTGTTCCTCATCAAGCTGTTGTGCAGGGAGGCAGAACTACCCCCCCTCTGAAGCCGAGGCCTGGCCTGTGAGAGGAGAAACAAGGTGTCAATCAAACATCCTGCTGCCTGGGATGGCGATTTTCACCCTTCAACATCCTTCCTAATAGCAAAAAATACTTTGGTCCAACAACTGATTTTTATTTCTGTCATAAAGCACATATACTGATATTAACATTAGTCTATCAATTGTAAGCACTTTCCTAAAGCAATTTGAAATCCAAGCTGTTTGGAATATGACTCCCTAATCCTCTTTTGTGTAAAACCCCTAAGCAGAACCTGAAACCCAGTACAACTATCATAAAGTGCCTCAGCTTCTTAAAAATATAAGCCCCATGGGTTGAGACAGGCATTCACAGTGTAAGTGGCGTATGAGTTTTTTTTCCATCCAAAACAACCCTCGCTAAGGTCACTCCAGCAGTGGAAGCTGAACTTGAAAACTGTTGGAAATTAAGCACCGTTGCACGCGGCAGCTGTTTGGAGTGTGTCCCCCCCTTTCGCTGCCCACGGGTGATGCGTAGGCACAGGAGGTGTCAGGTGCTAATTCACAGGTCCGTATGGGTGTGAGCGGGAGGCAAGGGAGACGTGTAGACTGGCAGGGCTTGTGTAAGATGTGGCTTCTTGTTGTGACCCTGAAGATTCTCCTTCTGCTGTTTAATCTTCTTCCTTTACAGTCCGGATGAAAACTAAGCACTCTGGTGTGCTTTTTTGGAAGTATACAAGCATTAAAATAGTTTTCTAAACAGATGCTCCTTCCTCAATTGTCTGCCGTGTACAAAACGTACTGTTGGAAAAAGGCTTCAGAAAGCAGAGGGAGCTACTCTCTGCACACAGAGAGGCTGAAGGTTAAAGATAACACTGCCCATGTCTTGTTCACAGTATGGTCAGAGAAACACAAGTTACACTACTACATCTACACAGAAACAGGGACAAACACAGAAGCAGACGGGGGTGTCATTCAGACAGGACCTACCGACAACTTGCCATCATCCTCTGGCGCCCCAGGACTTGCCTTCTCATCCAACACAAAGAGGAGAAGAAGTAAAAGGGGGAGAGGGAGAGAGAAAGAAAACAGGACATAGATGTGAAGCATGCAGACAAGACGAAAAGACGATACAAAGAGACATTGCGGAACAGTTACATTGATTGTGATGACTGACTGTAGTAGACAAGACTTAAAGGACAGATTCCTCCCAACTGCTGTGCCTGCCTACTGTGTCAGTTGCAAGCTGAGCAAGATTAGATTGTCTACTTGAATTTCCTTGAAATTCATTCAAAAGTGTCTTTTCAGTTTCACTCTCACTCATTTGAGTCAAAAATGCCAACTCACATAAGCACCTGGCATATCTTCGTACACACAGTAAATGATGAAGAGACAAAAAAAGGTTGAACTTTTCAAACGTAATTACTTTTTTCAATCGAGCTGTTAAGAAAAAAAGATGCAAAATGACATAATAATTTGACAATTTGGAAATACACTTAATTCACATTCTTGCCAAGAGTCAAATGAGAAGTTTGATGCCACTACAACGTCTGTGTTATGGTAAATATGAAGCTACAGCCAGCAGCTGGTGAGTTTAGCTTAGCTCATAGACTGGAAACAAGGGGAAACCTGCTAGCCCGACTCTGTCCAATGGTAACAAAATCTGTCTACCAGCACCTCGAAATCTCCTACATTATAATTTGTTTGTTAAATCTGTGCAACACCCATAATGTAAAAATAACAAGTTTACTGTACAAGTTGAAAAGTTTGCTAACCAGCTATTGGCTGTAGCTTCATTACTCCACACACGGGTATCAGAGCTAACTCTGGTGAGTAAGTGTGCTTTTCTTTAACCCAATCACTTCCTATCATCATCAACCATAGTTCAATCAAAACTACCCTTTAAGAGCATTGACAGAAATCTCACAACTGAAGAGGAAGCTCTTGCACTTTTGTCACTTGGTGGCGCCTGCAAAGCTAGCACCTTTTTAAAAGATCACCAGAATATAATTTGATTTAAATGTGATTATTTCTGACCCACAGGGCCAAACCAATATGGGAGAAAGTGCAGTACATGGAATAGTTCGACATTTTGAGAAGTCGGCGACTGCTTAGCTTAGCTTGGGAAAAACAGGTGGACGCAGCTAGCCTGAGACATGTTGTTCCAAATTGCTCATGCCCAGCCAAGTACTGCCCATAAAATAACAACTTTTCATGTTTCACACTTTGTTATTTGTATGGATTAAACAAACAAGAGTTAATATGTTAATTAGTGAGGCTAGCTGTTCCCCCAAATTCCAATAGCGAATGGCTGGCTCAAGCTTTATAATTAACATGCCAACATGAGAATCAATCTTGTCATCTAATTCTCAGCGAGAAAACTAATAATTGTCCATTTCCCAAAATGTCTAACTATTTCTTAAAGTAAACAAGTTCACTCTACATACTTTCTTCTTTAAGGCTGAGGTATCTAAATACTCTAAAATGATGCCTTGCATGTTCATTCCTGCCTGTTTTAATGTGATAACTTTGCCTCTGTGAGTGGGTATGTGACAGATCATGCCAAAGTGACTCCAGTCTTTTAACAATCACTCAATACTCTGCCATCATTCTCAGCGGGCCTATTTGGCATGTGAAGTACTGTAACTGGTCTATTTTCGAAACAAAAGCCTTTCACCAACTGCCTGAATGAACTCATTTCATCTCCAAAAACATGAGTGCATGTGTGTGTGTGTGAATAACAGTCGGTTAAGGCCTGCTTCTAACTCCAGGGGAACACAGACAAAGCTTTTGTTCAGATCTTAGCATATCAAGGCTTTGTTTCACAGCCTACACAGAAATGTGGAAATGTGAAATGTGGAGGCACTGGTGTGTGTTGATAAAGTGCACAATGCCAAATGAAATTATGAAAATTATCCAGTTTGATCTTGTAAGTGTTTAAAAATGCAGAGCAAACATACACATTTTAAGACAGGGCCTTCAGGCGTGTCAACCGAGTGATTCATTTGCATGCTAAACGACGCTGCATTCCACTGAATATAAAATCTCTTGATAATTTTGCAGGGAGGAGGAGTGTGGTGTTAACTCCGGTTTATGAGTTGAAAACTTATGTGGGTGTTAACAATGGTCCCTACAGATTTGGGGATTTAAAAAAAGAAAATTAAATAGTTTGTAGCTTCTTTTGTTGATTATTGCAAAATTATAAACTTACTATATCAAATAAAATTCACCTTAACCTGAAAGAACATTTACATGGGAGCCCCCACTGCAGTCGTTGTGAATGTCAACACCCACTGTATCCCACCGTTTCTGTTTAACAGCTCATAATTTACCATATATTAGGTTTGCCTCTGTATAGCTATAGAATCATAACAGAAATGAGGGATCTGAAATTAGACATTTCCCAAAAAAATTGAGCAGAAGCTGAGCTAATCCTATGATTTTCCACAGAGCTATTCCACTATGAACTCTTTTTTCCCCTCACTTCATATCTTTATGGTAATTCCCTGCACACTCAAGGTATAATTATACTTTTTCAGTCCCAATCACCCTCCTCAAAGGAAAGTCAGGAGGGTTAGGAGAGAACAGGTGAATGTGCCAGATAGAGATTACGCCATGGGTCGCTCATTAAGCCAGTGTTAAATATTATGACTAATAATCACATTGGGAGATTAGTATATTCTCTGGAGTTTGTGCGTTCTCTAATACCGGTAGCTCTGCCTTCCAGCTCTTACGCAATGTCACATCAGGATCATTCTTGGAAGCGGATCAACTGAGGAAGAAGTCCCTCTGCAGCCACACGCATGTCACGGCATGTTACGGGGAATTATCGATGGAGAATTTGACATCATGCAAAAATACTTTCGCTTTCACCACTGAAATTGCCCACAGCTTAAAAGGGGTGGGGGTGTTTCAGAGGAATCTGTGCACACTGGTGAAACGCTGAAAGTAGAGCTGGAAGTCCTGACATTTTCGAACATCAGTGGCAGATTATAGGTCTTCTCATATGCAATCTGAGCGCACAAAAGGGCTCTATTTCTGAATAAATTTGATTTGCATTTCCTTTATGTGTTGACATCCAAGCCAAATTACACAGATTTTTTTTTCTTTTACACACTTTCTACTTTGCCAGTGGTAGAGTTTGATTAAATCCATCATAGCGGTGCTTGATCTCACAAATCCTTAATATACTTCTTAAAAATACCCTAGATATACAATTAATTAACAGATAACAGTAATCAGCCTTACATTTTATAAATCTCATGAGCCACGTCCCGTATTATTTCCACTAAATTTCCTTTTCAGCGCTGCTTAGTTTGCAGAGAGTTTGCAGGGAATTAAATTCCAAAAATCTAAATGTGGATGATATAGAAGCAGGGGAGAGTGCTTCTCACTGTCACACTTGGTTCTACTGTCATTACAATACACCTTCGACTGTAATTTCCACAGCAATAAATTAACCCTCCAAAACTCAACTGGCATCACATAAACGTTCTGGGATTCTCACAAGTACGGCATTGAATGAATCACCTTATGAATACAGTGAGAAAGTTGGACAAAGGAAATTCCTGAAGGTGGTATAGAAACTAAGAAAGTATCTTCAAAGCCACTAACTGTCTATATCTATACACAGCCTCTGAACTCAATGTTAGCACTATAGCTACAAAGACTGCATGATTTTGTGAAGCCAATTTTTAACTTTAATCATAGTCTTTATAACCATGTGGAAACCAACACAAATTTAGATTAAAGGAATGCTTAGACAATTTGGGAAATACACTCTTATGAGTGTAAGCTAAATATTAAACTACCTCCAGGAGACAGTTAGCTTAGCATTAATAGTGGAAGCAGGAGGAAGAAAATCCACCTACCAACACCTCAAAGGCTCACTAGTTAATCAATTATATTATATTTAGTTTGTTTAAATCGCCGACTTCTTAGTCGGGTTTGGCCGGTGGTTGCCTGGCAACTGCTCCCAGCCAAGAATTAGTAAAACTGCAAATTGTCGTTACACATTTCTTTAACATCTGAAAAGTTGAAATTAAATTGCTTCTATTAATGTTTTCACAATGTATTTAATGGTTGTCACAAGGTAATACAGAGAAATATGTGCACAAGCCAAAAATTAAACCAGACACACGGGCTTGTTGTAGACAAAATCAACATCTCTCTAGCTGCCATTTCGTCCATGATAAATTCTTACATCTTGAAACTGTAGTAGCTAAATGAAATAAAGCATCTGTGGACTTGTGTATGTAAAGATATGCGAGAACCACACTGCCTGGCTTGTTAAGCAAACTTGAAAAGTGAAATCTTGCAGAGCTCCAGGCGTTTGCCTGCACATGCTTACAGCAGGCAGCCTGTCTGTCAGAGCATGACAGAACACCCTTCGAGATTTGTCCATCTAGATTCATCGTGTTAGAGCTAAACTGTTGAGCAGCGCAACTGAGCACTCTCTCTCTCCTCTTTCTCGCCCTCTCTCTCCCCCTCTTTCCCGTCTTGCCAGGAGACGATAATGATGAGCTTTAAGGAAAGGAGGGAAAAAATGCACAACAAGTCAAGAAGCCACCCACTTGCTAATTAGTAACCCCTTTATTTTTTCTAACAAGCAGAACTAATTAACGGATCTGCCACGACGCTGATTTCCCACAAGGCCTTGCTCACCAGGACTATGCTAAAACTGTTTCCTCCTACTCCCCCCACCCCCCCATGAACCAATCAAACTCAGGCTTTTGGGAGACAAATAGGGGAACAAAAACTGCTGTGTCATTTTCCCAAGTGAATGTAATCACCCAAAGCTGGGTTTGATCAGTAAAAAGTATTTTTTTGGTCATTCCCCTACCAGTACTCCATGTGCTTGTCGTCTATTGTAAAATCCCATTTCTTGTGTCACTGGATTTTGAGTTAATAATAATGTTCCAAAAGCGATGAATTCACTTGTTCACCAGATAAAATTTTTAAATAATAAAGCTGAGTAAATACAAGAGGGGGATAAATGACCTCCTGCAAACCTGCAGTTTGTCGTTCCC